TTAGCTCATTCTTGACACTCCGATATGGTTTTAATACTGGATTTACGTTATTTTTCACTTCAGGAAAACCTTCTTTTATGGTTTTTATCAAGACCTGATAAACCTCATCGCTTCTTGCGGCTTGTTGAAAGCTCATTAACATAGGGTCCTGAAGGTGTGACATTCTTATTAATTCATCAGTGTTATCAATTAAAGCAATCTGTTGAATAATAAATGACTGAATATGAGTATTGACTTCTTCTCCCATTAAGTCTTCATCCGTTGGAATATCTATGGGTGCTCTGGAAAGTGCATCTGGGATGCAGTGATCCTGTCCTTTGATCCATTCTGCTTTGAAATTGTATCCACATAGTTTTTCTTTAAGCCGCTGTAGACGAGGATTTTCGACCATATCTAATGTATAAGCATTTAAGATAGGTAATAAGGGTTTATGATCAGTGATAACTTCAAAGTCACTTAGTCCAAGCAGATACAGTCTACACTTTCTAATTGCCCATACTATAGATAAAAGTTCTATTTCTATCATTGAGTATCTGGTCTCTGTGTCTGATAAAAATCGAGACCCGCATTGGATTAATTTTAGACTTCCGTTATTATGTTTTTGCAGGAGTGCATAGCCTAGACCATTTAACCGTGACGCATCAGAATGCAATGTCGTTGTCAGTGATGGATCAAAATGGCTTAGTATAGGAGGTTTTATTAGAGCTTCTCGAATTTTATTAAAAGATTCATCATGGGCTGAACACCAAGTAAAATTGTTTTTTATTTTTAGCAATTCTCTTAGTGGACCAGCTATTTCAGAAATTCTATTAGAGAAATTTCCAAGCTGATAAACAAGACCCATAAATGATCGAAGTTCGGTTAAACAAGTAGGTTTTGGAAATTTTTGTATTGCTTGTACCTTCTTAGGATCGGCTTCAATTCCATTTACTCCAACGATGTAACCTACATATTCTACTTCTGGCTGAGCAAAGATGAACTTATTTGGGTTTAATGTAATTCTTTTGGCTCTGCATCTTTCTAAAAACGCTACTGTTCGTTTTACATGTCCGGCAAATGTTTCATCATATAATAAAACGCCATCTACTACTTTCTCCATGTTCTTAAAATCAGCTAAGGCTTCATCTCCTCTACGACAGAATTGATCTCCGGAACTAATTAGGCCCATTGGAGCTCTTAAAAACATGTAACGACCCCAAGGAGTGAGGAAAGTAGTTAACTTCTGACTATCTTCATCTAACAATAACTGCCAATATCCACTAGTAGTATCAAGAGTACTGAAATATTTAGCACCGCTTGCGATATTGGATACAGCCTCCCAAGAATATTTAAAAGGATGGATTGGTCTTTTTATAAAGGCGTTCAGTTTAGTGAAGTCTACACATATTCTAATTTTGCCATTCTTCTTTTGTACTATCACAAGGGGACTAACAAAATCTGCGGGAGTATCGTCAACTAGTCGAATGATAATCGTCCAATTCAATTTTAACTGCTTCCCTCCAAGCAAATGGAATTCTCCGAGGACATGTTATTGCAAAAGGAACAGTATTTTCTTTAAGGTGTATGTGTACTGGCTTAGCATCCATAGGTTGAAGATTATTTTCAGAATTAAAAACGTCTTTATATAAATCTAAAAGTCTTTTCTTCATTTCCTCACGAAACTGAATTGACGGATTTTCAGGAATTCCGTCTAATTTTTGTAGCTCTATACTAAAAATCGGCTTTGGAAATTCTGAATGAATTATACCTAACTGTATCATAGATAATCTGTCGATTAGTAGTTCTTTTATTCCGGAACATATATACAATTTTATTTGAATGCAACTACGTTCATAGGTAATTTCACATTTTATTAAACCTAAAACTTTAAGTTTTGACTGGTCTGCTGATTCTAAATTTACTTGAGTTGGTTCTACGTCAACTTTAGAATATCATAAGTGTTTTAAAAAATCTTCTCCTGCAGCACAGACTTCAGCTCCCGTGTCTGGGATTGCTTTATATTTAAATGTTATATTCGGATTTGATATCGACTTGACTTGTACGTCAATTTGTCGTTTTTGGAACCTGCTATTTGTATTGCCAACAGTGGTGATTTTCAAGCTTCCTATTTTAGAATCTTCTATTTGTTCCGATGTATCTTCGCTATAGCGAATTCCCTTTGTCATGCAACATTTTGTAAAGTGCCCTCTTCGTTTGCACTTCTCACAACTGAATTTATATGCAGGGCAGTCTTTTATGCTTCTATGCCATGGGTTACTACATCTTGGACATTTTTTATTGGTCACAGTGTTAGGTTTATTAATTTCAATCTTAGCAACGCTATTACTGCAAATATTTTCTTCATTGAGAGCGGCTTCTTCAGCTTCACATATTTTAATAATATCTTCGACGCTAGCCGTGTCTGGAAGGATTCTACATTTTTTTCTTAAATTTACATCGAAAAGAGATTCTATAATATGATCTGACAAACAACGATCATAGCAATTCAAACAAGGATCTATTAATTGGAAAAGTTTCACTTTCTCCCTATAAAAGGACATAAAAGACTCTCCTTGCTCCTGCTTTCTATTCATAAATTGACTTCGTCTTAAACGACTATTCTCTTTCTTTTTAAAATACTTTTCTAGTTTATTTAAGAGATTTTTAGGTGTTTTTTCAACATTGTCATCGAATTTCAGAACGAGTCTTACTACATCGGAGACGTCTTGACTAAAAAAGGACTCAAGAAGTGCCAAAACTTGTTTTTCTGGTATTTTTTCCACGTTTTGAAATACTAAATAATTTTCAAATTTACGCCTCCAGTCTTTAAATTGCGAGTAACTTAAAGTCTCTACTATCTTCTCTGGGCTGGCAACAACACTCGAAAAGCGAACAGAAGTATTAGGTGAGTTTTCACATGTAGGAACGCTTGTATCGTTCCCTCTATCATTTCCATTAAATGTACTAATGTTCTGTTGAGAAAGTGTCATTGCAGGTGCAGGCCTCTGAGTTTTTATTAGTTCTCGCATCATTTCTTGTAAACTGTTCACACCTTCTTCAAGCGAAGTCAGGCGACCCTCAGTTGACTCATCTTTCTCAGACGATTTTGAACGCTTCTTCTTCGGCATTCTAAGTATTCGTTTTTAGGTTTTCTTTTGGAAACGTTGGTTTATAATTATTTTAACTGCGCCATGGTAAGTTACACAATAAAAGATAAGACCTTTTGTATCTGACAACTCACTCTTTATTTCCGTCAGATCAACTGACTCCTGTAGACCCAGTAAGTATACATATAACATAAACTAAAACTAACTAAATATCATATATATACAGTAGCTTATTCCCACACTTATCTACAGTAATTTCAGTGATTGTTGAACTTTTCACCTTGTTTGAAACGAAACAATCAAATACTAATGAACATATTTTTGATTCAACACCAAATTGGACAAGCAAAGTTTAAATACCCAGTGAGAAAACAATAACAGAAATCTTGAACGAATTTGCCAATGAACAATATTTAGTGACATAATTATTTTTTAACTATTTTAATATTCCTATTCATATTACACATATAGCCTGTAAATCCTCACACATACCATACAAATTGTACTGGCTGAAGAACCTAGTTCGATGGCCATTTGGTTGTAAAATTTATAACCAATAAAGTGCTCTTATTATTACATCACCTTGTTTGCAGAAAAGCATACAAGCGTCGACTTATCAACATTAAGGGTTAAATAATTTTTGTCAAACTATGATTTTACTTTTGTTATAGCTGCTTCATTTAATAATTCATTAACATAAATTAAGAAAAGAATATGTCCAAGCACCGTACCCTGTGGCACACCAAACTCTACCGACTTAGCTGTACTTATGCTATTATTGATTTTAACACTTTGGGTCCTTTCACTTAGGTGTGATTTAAATAATTTATAAGGCAATCCTCCAATTCCCAGTTTTCTAGTTTGGTCTGCAAAATTTGGTGTGACCCAGTATCAAATGCTTTTCCCAGATCCAAAAAGATGCCCATAGATACATTGCCCTCAAAAATATTGCGGTTAACATAGTCTGTTAAGCAGATGACAGCGTCCTCTGTACTTAAATCTTTGCAAAAGCCAAACTGATTGTTGGAAAGAAAATAATTTTTTGCAAGGTACTGAGTCATTCTTATACATTAAAAATGGCTTAAGTAACAAATTTCCTAGAGAAATACTGTAAATAATGTAAAAAGTATATAATCTTAAGTGCACCACGTAATAAAAAATAAAATCATACCATTGGTGTTTAAAATAAATAAAGAGTTTAATCAGAAGGTGATCTTTTAATCCAAGTTCAACATCTCCCAGGCCTATGGATAGTACAGATATTTTCAAACTTGTTATTAATACAATTCATGAGGATTTGTTTATTGGAGCGGAAACACCGGTAGAAACCTGTATATCGGTCAAACCGCTACAAATTTATTTAAGGAACTTTTGAATGGTGATATAAAATACAGGGTGGTCAATATAAAAAAGAGAAAATGATGTATTTGCATTTTGACTCACCCTGTACAGATTTATTTTTAATTGAAACAATTGTACGTCGGCATAAATGTTGACCAACATCGAAAAACTTTTACCGTGAAAAAATTGGTTTTCAATGGTTTCCTTTAGCAGTATACAGGTATTGAAATCAATACGACTATCAAATAAAACTGGTTATATCGTGTAAAATACCATGTAGAATCCCATACCATGGTATTGTTATAATGGGAAAAGCCAGGGAAATTCAAATATAAAATAAAATCTAGGGTATTCTGTTAAAAAAAAAAAAAAACTAACTTTGATATGTATCACTTTCCTGCAAAACCCTGTAGAATTGAAATCATTTTTAAATTGTTGCCTTTTGGTACACATATCGCTGTAAAAACAGATTAAAAAAAAATGAAATTGTTCTGGCTCTACAGACTAAGGCGTTACCAGTGGCCAACCCTGTATAATTAATTGCTAATTCGAATTACTACTAAGACTACTTACTTGTCTCCCATTAAGGCTATACCAAACTGCAATCTTCTTCCACTCATATGATGTGCAACTGTCCATACGTCACATCTGGGATCATAACTTTCTATTGTTGTAGCCCCCTTATTTTTATCCATTCCACCCACAACCAGCAGCTTTCCCAAGGTCGCTTTTCTAGGTCTTGTTCTAGCGCTGGCCATAATAGGTCGTCTTTCAGGAAGTAAATGCCACTTCATGGCCTCCATAATTAGCTTCTGGCAGGTTAGGTCACCTTTAATTAATTATCATTAACAAAAAGTAGAGACATAACGGCAACGTTTAAGAATTTGCTTTATAACATAAAAACAAAATCAATGCTTTATGATATAATGATTTGGGGCATCTCTTCTTCTTATTTGTAAGAATTTTTTATTAAAGAAAAATAAATTTTATTAGATGTATCAAGAATGTGGTAACTAAAAACGATGCAGACATATTTAGGAGAGCTGTCAATTTTAACAGTACTTTATAAAATTACTTTCTAATATAAGAGATGACAATTTAAAAACTTAAGATATCAGAACATTCTTAAAACAGTTTCTATGATACGAAGGAGGAACTTAAATGACATAATACAGAACACACCCCCATCAACCCCTTAACCTCAACAAAAAAATAACAATCCCCTACTTGTCATCCATCATAGGAAAGCTAGTAAAAAATGTTTTTTAACGATGTAAGTTATACCTAGTGGTTATACCATATATAGGGCGGTTCAATAGTACAAAATAATTAAACATATATTTAAAAAGAAAATGACATGTTTATTAGAATTAAATGTTTTTAAAGATTTCCAGCAGTACAAAATAAATTGTTTTTATTAGATTTTACTTTTCTGACGTCATCTTTAGTTCATGAGATATGGCTATTGTAAGCTTTTAAATTGTCACCGCGTATATTAGAAATTTAAACTAAACAAATATTATTAACATTATTTATAAACAGGAGTACAAACTTTGACTTAAATAAAATTGTAATCTGACATAACTGATTTTTTAAGGCATTCTTTAATTCTTTATAAACACAGTTTGAATCACTTCATACAGGGTGAGTCGAGGAATGGTACAAACTGTTAAATATACAAAATTATTGACCTAATTCGCAGCATAGATAGTTAGTTGTTATATTTTTGAAGGATGTTTATACACTTTGAATTTTGAGTTTTTGGAAAAATGTAATGTCATATTTTTTTCTTGAAAATAAAGATATTAGAAGAATCAATGTTTTTATGATTTATAAGAAGTATTAGCCATTACAACACAAACTTCATAAGTCTAAATTATTATATCCACAAGGTGCAGAGCCCCCACTGCATATGAGCGCACGAGGGCGGCATGGCCAAGGGGCGGAAAATCGCCTTCTGATTGCTTTCAAAAGAATTTTCGGCAAGAAAAATAATATCTACACAAAAATACATTTTAATAATTATTATTCATTTTTACCATTTTTTAGAATTAGTTATCTACCTTTTTAAAAGGAAAATTTACATTACAAACTAAAAGACCTGCGGGCAACGGTAGTTTAGTAGGTATACAAATTACAACTTAAGGGTGGAGCCTAAATACTACAAAATTAGTTCCGAGACTAAACAAATTCATAATTTTAACAATTGCATGTAGATACGAGGGATACATATTCTAAACTCTAACGCGCGAAGTTGGGACAAAGGAAACGAAAAATATTCCACAATAGCACAAAATAATGTATTTTAAAATAATTGTCTGAGAGTCGAAAAGCGTCCAGATAGTTTAGCAATACATTTGCTCCTGTACCACTGATGTGTCCCCGATACGACAAGCCAAAGTAATAAATACAGGAGGCCTATGTATACAAAAACGTGCACAACCTAAATGTATACTAAAAAAATTACCGGTAGAAGCTGGTTTGTTCCCGAATAATAGAGTTTCACCACCTATGGAGGGAAAATAGAAGGGATAAAGAGGAAGGTGGTTATTACTAACACACAAAATCGGCAAAAGAAATATCGAAAAAATGTTAATTGTAAGACCGTCATTTGTTGCTTCTCACATTCGAATCAAATTCGCTACTGCCTTCAAAATTTGTAAAATATGCGCAGGCATGTCGTATGAACTGAGATGGTCCCTAATAGGAAGGCAACACTAAATGCCAAAACATCCTGAGGCCCCCGAAATTGAATTTATAATTCAAGCGAAATAACTAAATTTAAAATATTATTGTTACTTTATTACTAACCATAAATATATATATATAAAAAAAAAATAGAATATCCACCCACATATTATACCATGATATAAATAAATATAAATTTTGGAAACAAAAAAATTGTTACAAAATATTTCTATTGAGTAGGAAGTGGACAGAGCTTCACTACTACTGGACGAGTATCCCAAATAGCATAGAGAGTCAAAATTACTATTACTTTAGTATTTATTACTTTAATTTAGTAAAAATGTAGTAGCTACAACTCTAAATGCCTGTTTAATGTAACAATTACTTTATATTCCTAATGATACAGTCACTAAAACGTAACAGTTATTCTCAGTGTGTCGCTTGTAGTCATGGTTATACAAACACCCATAACGAATTTACAATAACCGAAAATTTACTTAAAAAATGTATTTAAAGTAATTTTTACTTTAAAGTCACCATCTTATAGTAGCGGAAACCATAAAAGTTACTAAAATGCGACTACAAAGTAATTTTAACTAACAAGTAACAACTGCTAGTAATTGGAACTTAACTGGGTGCTTCATTATAACTTTATATTTATAGTAGCATGTAAGTTAAAATCATTGTCGGTAGATAGTAAATGTTACCTGAGGATATACTTTGCAGTAGCGGCAACTAAATACATTCTTGGTACTGTGACTTTAGACACCCAATTACTGCTAAAATTGACTTCAAAGTTTAGAGTTACTAAAGTCAAAGGCAAAATTTCTTTGAAGTGGTAGTATTATCTTTCATAGTCACAACTTATAATTCGGCCATATATTGTAGGTGAAATAAGATATGCATTTTTTAACATAAAAAATTTATTAATTTTAAAATTTTCATTGGTATAAAGTAAATTCAGCATCCAAAAAGTTGAATTATCAACTTGGGACTATGTGAGTACTTAATATCACTTTTTATTTAAAATTTATTATTTTATTATCTTTTTTTTATGAAAAACCTAAAATTTGGGTGGCGCTTTTATTTTTTCGAAGTATTTTAATATGTTACTTAGTAAACTACTATTTGTTAAACAAATATATCCCCAAATAGCTTTAAACATGCTATTATAAAAGTATAATATCATACCTACTATATTATTACTTTCAAGTAACAAAGTCAACCACTTGCCTCGCCATCTATCATAATATCTTTTAAACAAGACTTTAAATAAAAATTAAATTCATGCATATTTAAACGAGAGAGCCAGGATACGTCCACGTTCAATAGAGATGAAGCAATTACTATGCTGTTACGTAGCAATAACCAGGCTGCCACTACTTTGTGACTTCAATAATAGTGGCGGTTGAAGTTCCAATAACTAGCCTGGAACTACTTGGTTACCTGAAAATCATTCCCCACTTTGGTAACTATTACATAGCAGCTTAGTAACTAGGTGGTAGCGGTGGATGGTCGCCGTAACCTTTGTAGTTACTAGGTTGGTAGCGGTTACGTCTTCGGAACTATAAATGTTAACTGGGATACGAGTTATTTTCTATTCGCACTCTAGCGACACGTATAACTTCGTCCTTGCCTGGATACACCTTTTCAATAATACGTATAGGCCATTGAAGTGGAGGTAGATTTTCTTGCAACATTAGCACGATAGTACCTTCCTTAATAACAGGGTGGGTGTATTCCATTTTTGGCGTTCTTGAAGAGTTGAAAGATATTCACTATGCCACCTTTTCCAAAAATGCTGAATCATCGATTCTAATAGTTTATATCTAGAAACCGGATGTATATTCTCGTTATAAAAAGTTTCCGCAGGGAAGGAGTTTAAAGGTGAACCATAGAGAAAATGGGCAGGGGTTAAAGCTATAAGATCATTAGGGTCATGATTTATTGAGCATAAAGGACGACTATTTAAAATAGCTTCAACTTGAGTCAACACTGTGTTGAACTCTTCGTAAGTCAAAATTTGCGTTCCAATTACTCTGAATAAATGCAGTTTCATGCTACGAATATTAGATTCTAAAAGGCCACTGAAATGGCTAGCCTTAGGAAGGTTATTAAGTAGCTCAATTTTATTAAAATTTAATTCAATTTGAAAGGCATTACGATAATCTTGGGAGGCTCAAAGGTTCTGCACCTCGTTAATTCAACTTTTAGCTTCAATAAAATTTGTTCCGCAATCGGAATAAAGTTTTAAACAGTTACCTCTACGAGATATAAACAGTTTAAAGGCTGCTAAAAAGCAGTCAGAGGACAATGATGACGCGAGTTCTAGGTTTGTAATGAAACAGATAAATATGCATACATAAGTATTTTGCCTTCTAACTCCTCGCTTGCGAAACCTAGTGATAGGGTAGGCACTAGTGAAGTCAGCACCAGTTGTCAAAAAAGCCTTGGTTTGGTTAAAAATCTGAGATGTTAGGATATGATGGTTTAGGATTGGCTCTAAAACAACGATTACATAACCAAACACGTTTACGCAGAAGGGTTCTAGCAGATAAAATCCATTATTTTTGTCGTAAAAGGGATAAAAGTAAATGGGCTCCAGTATAGCAATACAATTTATGATAATGATCAATTAGGGCTATAACAAAATGGGATGCTGGTGATCATAGTCTAGTAAAGAATTAGATAGTCTCCCCCTACTCGAATTATCCCGTCTTTAATAAAAGGGTTAAGGCGAAGAATGTTGGATTTTATGGGTTTCTTTTCCATAATTGCTTAAATATATTAATATATTTCAGAACATATGCAGTGGCATTTAACATTTTACTAAAAGAGGAAAAATATTCTAGTTCACAATAAAGGGGATTTTCGACTTTTGGAAGAGATACGATGGCGACTAATTCGCAAGATTCATGGTTAGGGAAATTGCTGTTAACAGTTATGTCCGAGAACACCGATCAAGGAGAAGCGACAGCTTGGTGTTTTCAGTGTACCGTTTTGTAACGCGCATGTGCGAAAATAAGTTGTGTATTACTCAAAATGATTTTATCTGTCAAAGTCAGTCCAAGTTGTGTTTAGTACGTGAGCAATGGTAAGTGATATTTTTTGGTGTTTGTTTTGTGTAGTAATAAGATGAAG